GGTCCACAGTTGGTCAGATTTTGGTCTCTAACTTAAGATGATCTGACATTAATGTTTTCTGACAGCTTACTTCCATAGCTTCATAGCTCTCAAAGTAAATGATAACATGTGTATATATAACATTTTAATTTTGTCCTAATATCAATGTTAGAAATATTATTCAGATTCTGAAACCAACACCTTTTTATCACCAATCAATTATTTCATCTATTATTTATAATGCATTCTTAGAGATACCTTTTTTTTTTTTTTTTAATGTTTCTTTTGTTATTCTTTTTTATTTTACATTTTCTCAGCATTTTCTTTAATTTTTTTATTATGTTAATGTTATAGGACATTTAACTTTGTTGTTAAATAACTTCAGTCTTTAACATTTTCGATGAATTTAATAACAAATATCAACTAGAACTGTTTCCTTGTTTCACCATATTAAAGAGGGGCTTAATATCAAACTTATATATCCGGTGTATGATTAATCGGTATGCATAGATGACCTTTTCCACCTTATGCTACAATCACCCCATTCTATGCAGTGATCTTCCATACTTTTTGTAAAACATCTTTCCATGTCCCATCCCATTCCTTCCCATCCCATTCCTTCCCATCCCATCCTATCCATCCCATCATGAAATTGTTGTTTTGTTAGATTTATATCAGGGTAGTTCTATGAATGACAAGATCCAGCTGTGTAACATGATTATTTGTACAGGAAGAGTTAATTATCATCAAGAGTTTGTGGAATTACTCCCTGTGTAGAATTGGGAAAAATAATTCTGAGAAAACAACACCAGGATATCTATTTATGGATTCTGAGTTGGTATTATATTTGGTTACGCATCTTTTTGGCTCAGTTCACATCGACTCAAGTCTTTGGTTCAGTCCATATTCAAGTCGTTTTGGTTCAGTCCATATTCAAGTAACTTTGGTTCAGTTCAGTTCTCATTCAGCCAAGTTTAATAGTGGAGTGGAGTGCAGATAGACATTCTAAGTAAGTAACATTTACTTGAATGCTGTATGTTATAGTGTTGGGGGGAAAGTGTAGAAGTAGAAAGTGTGCAGAGAGTGAGGTATATTTACTGATGAAATTTAAAAAAGTTAAATGTACTTACTTAAGTAAAAAAAATATAGTCAAATAAGATTTATATATGGTAGATTTGGTTGGTGTAGATCAAGGCATTTATTTTCATGATTGTATATTGGTACACATGTAGAAAGTGAGGGGTTGTCATAGGAACATTTAAATGATTTAAATCATGCTATAATTTAGCTGCACATATGGCTTAGATTATTAAACTAAATGTTACAGATGATTATAACATTGTAAATTTATTGAATGAAAAAAAAAAAACTTTCTAATTAATATATATATTTACAAGATGTTCCCTATCATTCTGGGGTCAAAAGTCAAATATTGAAGCACTTATCTCAGATTCATTGATTTATTAGTAACACATGTAATATGAATTCTTGCATCTAGTCACTAAATAATATTAAAATTTATTTTCTGTTTTCTTTATTTTAGTAAAAGTGTTTCATAAAATGTCTTGGAACTATAGTTAAAGTAAATAGTCGACTCATTAAATGTTCTGAAGGAAAACAACTATGCATGCTTGATTTTAGCGCATGTATGATTAATCTTAATTAATTGATGGAAGTGTTTTTTCTTAAATTGGTGCCTTGTTTCATACACGCAAATACAAAAAATATTTGCATCTGGTTGTAGTTTCAGTCAAAGCAAATAATGTATAGGGAAGAATTAGATACTGTTGAATACTTTATTTTCGCTGGAATTAATTTTCACTGAAAAGGCTTTTCGGACGTTTTGTATGGAATTTATTTTCACTAATTTTTCATGAGTTTAATGTGAAATATAGGAAAAAATGTATATTTGCTGGATTTTATTTTCACAGCATCACCCCTTCAGCGAAAATAAAGTACTCTACAGTACATTAAAAAAATTCCAAATTAACAAGCTGCTCTCTGATTGGTCTGACTGTTAAGATTTTGGGTACAGTAGCCAATCAGACACAATCTTGCTTCGTATTGACTCAAAGATCCCAATATATAATGATAGAAGTAAAGTTGTTTCCTGTTACTGGCAATTTAAAATAATCAAACTACTTTGTCTTGCTTGAAAAAAAACGGAAGGGAAAGAATATTAGTTGAAGGACTCTCTCTTTGTTGTTATCCGTGTTGTCATCATTGTTAACATTTTTTGTCATTGAAATAGATCAGAATGTTTTCATCCAGTTTTGAATGGTTAGAAAAATTTTCCAAAGTTTGATTTTTATAGTGTATCTGACAAGTATCTTTTATTAGTTACATGTATTAATTTATTTCCACCATTATCATATAAGTTGTTTTAAACTTTAAATGACATGTCTGTTCTTTGGTATCAAATGTCTAATTTTTTTACACTGCAATAACCATTGTATGCAAATTTGTTTTGTAGTGTATGTGTGTGAGTGTGTGTTTGTTTGTTTGTCCATCCCAGAGTTAGTAATAACAAGGATTTATAAGATTATGGTATGTAAAATTGTACGCTATGAAGGTCACAAATATTTACACAAATACAAAAATTTAAAAAGGCATGCAAAGAGAAACCTAGATTTCTAAAAATTCTAATGCAAATTATTGAGTGAACTGGTGTATGTTCATTTCCAACCGTTTTTGGTACATGAGTATCTTTAATTCACAAAGCATGTAACATGTGCATTTTGTGATTTCAAATGCAGTGATAATTTTGTTCTTTTCTGTGTGCAAGCATGTCTCCTGTGTTCTGTAATGCTATTATTATATTCCTTTGATGTGCGGGAATGAGATCGCTTTCAAGCGTTCACAAATCACAAAAAATTTGCTTCACTTGAGATCTTCATAGCATATCACTGTACATAGGTATAAATTCTGCATACCCTTAAATTAATAACTTATATTCTCAAACAACATTTTCTATTATCATGCTCATTTCTGGCGATACTTCTAACGTTATATTATCTCATATTAAATTCAGTGCCTACAGGAAATACCGAAATGAGTCTCTCTACGATGAAACTGCATGTAAACTCAAATGAAACAAGGTCACCACTTGTTGAAGAAATTGTTGTACCAGAACAAGTTTCTTCGATAGGATCAGAAAATGGAACAGCCACAAATACTTATCCCGGTATTAATGATATTGGTAAGTGTTGTTTCCTATATCTTTGCACTGTACCAAGATTTATCAATAACATTATGTATACCATGTATTACATATGATTTGCACTTGACCGTTGACCTTCATAATTATTTACACCTAAATTGTGGTGCAACATTTGCACATTGGTAGTATAATGTTTTGATTAATTTTAGATCATATAAACATACTTTCTCATAACAATAATACAATAGCAATTAAAAAAAAATTATT